AGGTACAGTAATGGCCACAGAAAGCAGATCGGTGCCTACCAGGGGTTGGGTGTGGGGAAGGGAGGGGATGGAGAGTGACCGGTTAACAAGTACAAAGTCTTCTGCAGTGTTGAAAAACGTTTTGGAACTAGTTAGAGGTGGTGGTTGCACAACATGGTGAATGGGCTAAATGCCACCAAATTGTTTCCTTTAAAATGGTTAATTTTTAAAAAAATATTTTATTTATTTATTTGACAGAGAGAGAGCAGGAGAGGGGACACAAGCAGGGGGGAGTGGGAGAGGGAGAAGCAGGCTTCCCACCGAGCAGGGAGCCCGATGCGAGGCTCTATCCCAGGACGCTGGGATCATGACCGGAGCTGAAGGCAGACGCTTAACGACTGAGTCACCCAAGCGCCCCTAAAACAGTTAATTTAAAGGCATGTGAATTTTACTTCAATTTAAAAATATATACATATAAAACCAACAAACAAAAAGACTACAGGGTGAATCCTTACTGGTGTCCGGAATTCCCTAAGAAAGGAATGAGACTGTTCATGAGCAGTTTGGCACCCTCCCCCACCTTTCACTTTCGCGTTCCTCTCCGTGACGCTCATTTCCTCTGGTTGGTTACACAGTTTTTTAAAGCTTAACATGGTCCTGGCTACTCACCAGGTGGGTGAGGGAGAGGGCCCCTGGCCCCCCTGAGACTGTCCTAGCCCGGATGGAGAGCCGCTGTGAGTCAGCAGAGCAGACACTTGGCCTTTGTGAGCTATCTGTGGCCTGGGCGTGGCGGGGGTGGGGGGGGTGGGGGAGGGCCAGGCCTGGTCCTGAAAAGTGGGGGGGGGGGGGGGTGGCCTCTGCCTCCAGCAACCCCAGTATAGAATCTCAGCTCCCTGGAGCCTGCAATTAAGGCCTGTGGTATTTGCCCCAAAGTTGGTATACAAGAATCAGCACTTTGCCCGCCTGCAGTGCACAGAGTTAACTATAGGTCACAGAATTCGGCTCCTAATCCCTGTGACATATCAACAGTTCGTGGCAGGAGGCAGAATTTAACACAAGACATGTGATCTTTCAGTAATTTTATCAACCACTGATTGTGTAGGTGCAGGAGATATTCTAAAAGAAGAAGATGCCCTTAAGGATCTCAAAACCTGACAGGAGGGTGGAGTATGGTTGGGAAAAGTATAGAGGAAATGTCACAGATGTTTCTACCATTTGAGAGGTGAGCTTCACTCAGGTGTGGCTGAACTGGGTCATGAGATGGAATGAGTTGGGTTCTTCCAGAACAGAAAACGCATCTGCAGTTTGGACTGCATAAATTACAACCAGGCTTGTCTCTGGGTATAACTGAATATCACAAGGCGTACACTGGAAAATATGAGACTTATGCTCTTGGGCTTTGGTTTGTCATCTACTCCACACCCAACAGAGAGTAATTAATGACCACAGTTCTGGAGTTGGATCACAGCACCATCAATCACTCTCTTACAGCTTAACTTCTCCCCAAGTGAATTCAATGACCTCACGTAAACTTGGGATAATGATAGCACCTACTTCTGATACAGGGAGGTAAGGCATTAGCAAGCGCTCATCGCGATAGAATATCGTATGTGGTATGTGGATTTTTCCAAGGACTTTGGTTTAGCAAGAACATCATCCGAGACTCTTTAGTTTATAGCATATGCCTTTTCTCATGTGACTGGCGTCTCTGTCTCCTTGCAGTTTGAGAACAGAGACCACATCACTATTTAATTAAGAAAATACTGAGTGCTGCTTTTGATTATACATGAGTTTGAATCTCACCTATTTACAATTAGTGGCAAAAACATTAAAACCGAGAATTTTTTCTCATGTTTTTTACTGAGATACAATCCATAGACCATAAAAATTGCCCTTTCAGTGTATGATTCAGTGGTTTTTAGCATATTCACAGAGTTGTGCAACCACGGTCACAATCTAACTTTAGATCATTTCATCATTCCCCTGCCACACCAAAACCCATGCTTCAGTTCTACTCCTAACCCCTGGCAACCCCCAGTCTGGTTTTGTCTCTCAATTTGCCTGTGCTGCAGTTCACATAAATGCAACCATATAGTACATGGTCTTTTGTGTCTGGCTTCTTGCCCTTAGAATAGTGTTTTCAAAGTTTACCCATGTTGTAGAGGCATCAGTAATTCTTTTTCTTTTTTCTTTCTTTTTTTTTTTTGGTGGCTGAATACTATCCCATAACATGGCTATACCACACTGTGCTCATTCATTTATGAGGAACAGTGGGGTTGTTCCTACTTTTTAGCTATTGTATAGTATATAATGCTGCCATGTTTTTGTGTGGGCATGTTTCCAATTCTCTTGGGTATATACCTAAGCATAAAATTGCTGGATCATACTGTAACTATGTTTTATTTAACCTTTTGAGAAACTGCCAAACTGTTTTCCAGAGGAGCCTCATAATTGTAGATTCCCCCCAGCAATAAATGAGGGTTCCAGTTTCTCTACCTCATCAACTCTTGTTATTAACTGTCTTTTCACTGGAGCCATCCTAGTGAGTGTGAATGGTTTCTCGTTGTGGTTCTGACTGGCATTTCCTTGAGAGCTAATACTGAGCATCTTTTCATGTGCTTATTGGTCATTTGTGTATCTTCCCTGGAGAAATGTCTGTTCAAACCCTTTGCTTATTTTAAAATTGGGTTGTCTCTTTATCGTTAAGTTGTTCCTTTTCTTTAAGTAAGTTCTACACCCAACGTGAGGCTTGAACTCACAACCCGGAAATCCAGAGTCACATGTTCTACTGACTGAGCCAGCCAGGTGTTCCTGTAAGAATTCCTTTTATATTCTAGGTACTAGTCTCTTATCAGATGGAGATTTGCAAATATTTCTTCTCATTCTGTGGGTTGTCTTTTTACTTTCTTTTTCTTTTTTTGAAGATATTTATTTATTTGACACAGAGAGAGAGAGAGAGAGCACAAGCCGGGGGAGCTGCAGGGGGAGAGGGAGAAGCAGGCTCCCCCCTGAGCCGCTGTGGGGCCAGATCGCACTACCCTGGGATCATGACCTGGGTCAAAGGCAAACGCCTAACTGATTTAGCCACTCAGGCGCCCCATCTTTTTATTTTCTTGATAGTATCTTTTGAAGCACAAATTTTAAAAGTTTTGATGAAGTCCAATTTATTTATTTATTTTTTGTTGCTTAGGCTTTTGGTTGTATCTAAAAGACTATTGCCTAAACCAAGGTTACTGAGATTTATACCTTTGTTTTCTTTCTTTCTTTTTTTTTTTTTTTAATATTTTATTTATTTGTCAGAGAGAGAGAGCACAAGCAGGGAGAGCGGCAGGCGGAGCAGGTAGAGGGAGAAGCAGGCTTCCTGCTGAGCAGGGAGCCGGATGCAGGACTCGATCCCAGGACCCTGGGATCATGACCTGAGCCGAAGGCAGACACTTGCCCCTTCTTTAATTTATTTCAATGACATTTTGTAGTTAACAATGTACCATTCTATGGGCTTCTTTTGCTAGATTTATTTCTACTTATCTTATTCTTTTTGATGCTATTTTAAGTGGAATTCTTTTCTTAATTTCATTTGTGTATTATTCATTGCTAGTTTATAGAAATAGTTGATTTTTTTTTAAAGATCTTATTTATTTATTTGAGAGAGAGAGAATGAGAGAGAGAGAGCACATGAGAGGGGGGAGGGCCAGAGGGAGAAGCAGACTCCCTGCCGAGCAGGGAGCCCGATGCGGGACTTGATCCCGGGACTCCAGGATCACGACCCGAGCCGAAGGCAGTCGCTTAACCAACTGAGCCACCCAGGCGCCCGAAATAGTTGATTTTTGTGTATTGATCTTGTATTCTGCAACCTTGCTGAATTTGTTAGCTTTAATAGTTTTTTCCATATGTATTCTTTAGTATTTTTTTTTATATAGAAAATCATGTCTTTTGCATACAGAGATGGATTTACTTCTTCCTTTCCAATCTGGATGCCTTTTCTTTTTCTGCCCTGGTGGATACTTTTAGGGCCTATCTTGGTTCTTCCCTTAGGGAAGAGGGAGAAAACTGGTGGCGGTTTTGCATCAGGAATCTTATTTCTATGCTCTTCTCCATCAGTATCTTAAATTATTTTATCTTTTGTCCCATGGTTAAACCTTAGTTACTAAACAGAGCCTTAACCTCTTTCTACCTCCCCACGCAAAACACATCAAGAAGAAGAGTTCATTACCTTGCCCCCTGGGAGCTCTTATTGTACAACTCACCCTTATTGGGAAGTTCATTACGTATTCCTTCTCTCTCTCAATCTTGAATTCAATTGAACATACTGATCAGGCTCTAAGAGCTCTCCCCTTTCTTTCCTCTTTGGAACTTTTGCAGATAGGAATCAGGAAACTGCCACAGGGTGAAATAGCAAATATACATAATACAGACTGCCTGGAGGAAGCAGAGAAGCAGGTTTAATCAGGACAGCCAGGTAGCAGAGAGGAGGAAAGGAAATGAAAGTAGCAGAGCTTAGTGAGAATAAATTGTTTCAATTGGATGCCAGTTAATGGGAAACAAAGCTGATACTTAGAAGGAAGGGTGCAGTTATAGAGCAATGGAAACAATAGTCCAGCCTGAACATTTTAAACAAAATAGAGGGAAAGGGGTGAGAGGCAGATCCTGGTGAAGAGAATGCCACTCTCTACTCAGGTTATTAAGGTCTGACAAGGCCTCAATGAATATAGACTTGATTTTGCATGCTCAGAATTACTCTGAGAGAATGTTGCTTCTCGTCCAAGGTGAGGGCAACCTACATTAGCAAGCTAGGGATGCTGGTTCTGGGGAACTCTTAGAAGCCTAGGCACTGTCAGGGTGGCTCCTACTGGAAGACGGAGCTCCTTCAAACTGTAAAAAGTCCACATTCTCTTTTCTACATGAGGATTCTCAGATAAGTGGTAAAGGCTAAAGGCTTTTCCATCTTAAGATCATGGAGCCCTCTTTGTTCTGGGAGTTTACAAACCTTCCCTTGGATTGTTTTTCCTTTCTTCCTGCTGCAGTTAGTCAGCAATTTCAGGAAGCCACTTAATTCCCAGGAGGGACCACATTTCTTCACATTTCTTTGGACGAATGACCTGGACTGCCCAGCCTGGATTGCAAGGTAAAGATGTGCTTGCCCAGAGTGCCTCTCCTGCTGTTCTCTTCCTCTCTGATTCTCTGTCTTGAGTCCACGTGACCATGTGACACACCAGACACCTGGCATTTCCCCAGGGCCAAAGCGCCAACTGGTGTAAATGTGTTTGACTTCATGGCAGCAGACTCCTGGTTTCCTGCTGCCAAGGCTGCGTTTAACCTAAAGTTACCCTTAGGCAGGGCAGGGCGGGTTACTGGGGTATGAGTCAACCAGCTTGGCATCTACTTCTTTTTTACTCTTAAAGGTACAGGAATAGGACATAGACAGTACGGTAGACCATAGAGATAAGTTCCAGGAAACTTTAAATTGCAGCCAAAAATCACCCAGACACAGTGCAGTCAGATTCACTTCACTTTTATTATGAACAAACACAATTTCAGATCAGTACAACTAAGCTTCAGAGTTGATATTAATAGAAATTATTCCAAAATTATTCTTAGGTCACAAATAACTACTATCCCACATAAAAGGGGAAAAAAAATCCCACCCAATCAAGGAAAAGGTACCTGTGTATTGTTTCCATGGCAATGAGTCTATGTATTCTCAAATTTTATCTGGCTAGTTATCCACCACTTAGCCAATGGATTTATTCAATCTCTCAGAGAGTATCATATCGATTAATCACAGCATCCAGGACGCATGGTTCATGATGGACACAAGTTCACGGTGGATACTGCTACTTTTTATAAAAATACTCAGGACTTAAAAGAATTCCTCTGCTGAAGGATCCCAAAATGCTTTATAAAAAGCATTAGTCACGCCTCAAAACTGCCCTGTGAGGTAGGTCAGTATTATTATCCCATTTTAACAGAAGGAAAACTGAGGCACATTATAGTTAAGTGACTTGCCCAGGGTCACATAGCAAGTCAGTGGCACAGTGGTAGGAGAGGCCCTGGCCTTAACCACCCGCGTAACATGGACATCTTGTTTTCTTTAACCTTTCACGCTGACCCATATGAGCTATACTTACAAAGAATACACTCAGGATACTAGCAAACCAAGGAGAAAAAGTTTCCATTTTAAATGCTACAACCATCTTTTAATCTAAAAAATATTATAAATCAAATACATTCAAATTACTTCCACCCGCCGTCAATGTGGGCACTTAATAAAAACAGCCCTAAGAGAAGTTTCCAAAATGAAGCCCTGAAGGGAATCCTGCGAATAGCTCTACTGATAATCCTCCAGCCAGACCCCCTTTTCTACCAGCCACTTCTGTAGGGTCTCAGGTGCAAAGGAACTCCACGGAGGGAGCGAGGAGGGAGTGAGAGCAGGCTCATATGCAACACCGATTAGAAAAGATGTAAGGCACCCAAATAAGTTGTCAGCACACCCACAAAGCGAGGACTGTTAGAAATTCAGACTTGAGTTTCTGGATCATTAATGTGTCAACTGAACTCAGCTTTAGAATCTTGAAGAAAGTGTTCTTTACTCGCAGACACCCCTCCACCTCCACATTCTCCTATACGGAGGGGCCCTCAGCCTGAGGACCCTGTCCAGCCTTGTGTAGGGTCATGGTATGGGTCAGATCCCTGCGACATGATTAGAATAGAAAGATAAACTTGTTTTTGGTCCAAAATTATAAAGCAGGCATCTGATAACCTGTGGAATTAAAACCACCCAACAGGCATTTCCAAGGGATAAGTCCACAAGTCAGCAGATCTGAACTACAGTGATCTTCCATTAGTCTTTTCTACTGTGAGGAACAGCTGAAAAGATGAGGATGCCTTTAGTCCAGGGAACCCCTTTAGCCTCTGTCTATTCAATTAATACAGGAAGAAAGGCCCTCTTCCCTTCCAGTATTGGGGCTCAACAGCGCGCAGAACATTTGGCCTTGTACATTTCCAATCTTTCATAGAGTAAAGCCAGGCTTTTGCATTGATGACCGAGGTACAGGGACAGGGGCAGTCCAAGGTTCTCAAAACACTGACGCTTTCTTCAGACCTCTTCTACACTACCGTTTGCCCTAGGCTGTGTGGTGGGGAATGCTGGTTAGTTTGCCAAGCAGAGATGCTGTTCAGCAAAGTTCATGGCATCTCAGATCCCAAGTCTGGGCTTTGCAATACACCCTGGCTCCAGGGAACAGGGCCTCCTTTTGCGTGAGGCACTTTGGAACTTTCCTTTGCTTCTTGTGCTTCCCAGTGAAGACTAGGCTCCCTCCTGCTCCTGCAAGCATTGCACTGTCCACTGGGAGCTCGGACTCGGGCTGGGCAGGCATACCGAGCGAGCAGGGGGCATCTAGCATGCTCTCATGTTCTGATCCAGACAGAGGAGGCTAAAAACAAACCCTTTTTTTTGGCTCCGTGGCTGGCTCACTGGCACAACACGAGCCTTTGGCCTGGCTGTGCCTCATGAGAGACAGTGCCCGAGCCAGGGACGTTTCTAGTAAGGTTTGCCAGCCTCCTCTTGAGTCATCAGTGTGGAGGGGAGCACAGGGGTGTAGGTGGAGAGACTCTGGAGGCCAAGTGAAAGTGGCAGCCTACTGAGCTTTATAAGGAGAAACAGTGGTTCAGTGACCCTGAGCATTCTGTCTGCAGGAGAGGGAGCTGCTGGTGAGCCTTAACCATCACTGCGTCTGAATACATACAAAGGAGGCTTCCTGTCCGGAGAAAGAGGAAAACATCAGGGAGGAGATAGAACCGGAAGGAGAAAATGGACAGATAAGGGTAGAGCCAGGAATCAAAACCCACAGTAGTTAAGAGATTCCTACCTCGCCCTCCAGGCAGTCCTATACTTTATGCTAAAAGTTAACTGAGAAGGAATGGGAGAAATGGCTCAACACTGCGGGGAGAAGCCTTCTGGTTTGTCCTCATTCCAAGGAGAAACTGGAATTCATGAATGAACCTAACATTTAACTTGTTTGTATAACCGGCTTCCAAATCAGGACACCCAAAGACTTCCTCAGTAGTAACCTTCTGAATCCCCTGGCAATGTGTTCTCAGAGCCCTTCTTTTGTAAAGTTATCTCTTAGGAACTGCCAACAGATCTGGCCCTGAACCTCTCCATCTCCTGTCCAGCAGTGAGAGGAAAGTAGCCAACCCACCTAATTTCTCCTCTTCTTCAAGCATCCCTTTTTCAGAGGGAAATACCCTAAGTGAATTACTTTAATGTTCCAAGCAGACTGTGTATGTATATATATTTTTATGTTGGACCCAACTCCACCTCTTAAAATCCTTCCTTTTTTGGAAGACCACTATGCTCACCACTATGCCACAAACACATTCCTTTTTTGGGTGTCTGGAAATGCTTCAGCCACCTTATTACCATGATGGGAGCCAACTAACAGCCCGAAGATGGCAGAGCAGAAAGACAAAAGAATTTTGATGATTCCATGATCTGCTAGATTTGCCAATTCTGGAAACAACCAACCTCAAGATTTCTTGTCATAAGGAATAAGAAATCTTCCTGTTATTAAAGGAAAAAAAAAAAAATCCTTCTCCAACAGAGACCACTTTTACTACAAACTAAATGCTTCTTCTTTATCCCCAACCTAAACTACATTTGGGACATTGAGATCTGCTTTTGTGTTCCAGCATTGCCAGGCTCTGTGGCCATTCCCTAGTCAGAGTCAGGAGAGAAAGGAGACATGCTGTCTATTGGGGCACCAAGTCCTCACTAGGCAAGCAACCGTGTGTCCAATCATAGCAGGAGCCTCTTGCCCTGTTTCCCACCTCACCCCATCTTTACTTCTCAATCATACCAACTCTCTCCCCTGACAGTCTACCTGCTTTAGAAGCTTTGTGCCAAATAAAGTTATTTTCCATTCCAACTCGCAAAAGCCTGAGCTGAAGATAATTAACAGGGGCCTTCCCAGAAGGTATGTTCTCATACCTCTAGCATGAGCCACCCACCCTAAAGCTCAGGACAGCTCAAGGCAAGAGTTATGTGGGACAAAGACCACTAATTTTGGACTACAGAAAGGCTGGCTAGGCTTTGGAAGCTGGACACCCACCCATGAATGACCAGCTGCTTGCCTGGGAGGCAATGAGCGAGGAGAGAAAGGAAGGTGATAAGGACAAAGCAAAGAAAAGGACAATGAACTAGAAGAGAGGAAGAGAAGAAATAAGAACCTCAGCTTAGCCTCACGAAGGCAGAGTTGCTGGCTTTCAATTTTAAAAGAATACTGTACTGGAAAGGGTTAACATCATCATCTTTAGCATCCTGGTAGCATTATTCAGTAGTTAATAAACAGAACATTAAACCTCTGCCCGGCTGGCTTTTGGAAAAGGAACCCAAGGGACCCCAAATTCAGCCACTCTTGGAGCTTCCGTCTCCAGTTCTTTTAATCCTGGCCAAGACGACAGCCTTGGATACTTTCTTCCGGTCGTAAGCCAGCCCGAGGGCAGCCATGCAATCGATAAAGAAGGTGGTGAAGTTGATGTGCCAGCGGTACTCACTGGCAGAGTAGTCATAGGGGAAGGAGTGGTGGTAGTTGTGGAAGCCCTCCCCTGGAACAAAAGCAAGCACAAGGGTTACGGAGCGGTCTCTCCACGCCAGGGATCCAGCAGACGACCTCAAACCTAGCAGAAACTTGCTGTTGTTGAGCAAAGGAGCGAATCCAGTCTCTTCGACTCTGAGCCAGATTGATCGCCTCGGAGGCGTCTTAAGAAATCACTGGGGAGACCTGGCCACCAAGCCTAGAAAGGAACCTGTGTCAGAGGAGGACCCGCGATTCCTCCCAGAGGATAGGCCAACTAGAGAGAGAGATGGCTCTGGGCCGGGAAGGGATTTCAGGTGGGAAAGTTCCCTAAGTACTGGTCTGAGGCAGCACAGGCTCTTGGGGTGCACGTGGATGCGTCCGGGTGGGGAGAGGAGAGAGTCCCGAATGAAGGACTTTTGCTGCACTTCTTACAACGACACGCCGGGGAGAAACAAAGACACTCTGCTGTCAGAAGAATTTCAGTAAGAGGTAAAGCTTTGGGAACTCCACAGACAGCGAGTTCTCCAACCCTTGGCAGGACTCTTCTTTTTGGATCGTATTCAACAATTAACAATACTGACCCTTCTAAAGCTAGGGGAAAGCTGGGTCAAGAATAGCTAATAAAAGAGCGCGGTGAGCCCTTTGAAGATAAAAGAACCCCAGGAGAGTAGTAATGATATTAATAACAAGCAAGTGAAGGAAATCCTACAGAGTAAATGACACTACTCAGGGCAAGTCAAGGTATGTCCTCTCCCTGTGACACCTGATTATTCACAGTGTGAACTGAGTAGGAGGTTGGGATAACCACAAGACCAAAGGTACTGACAGGATTACTAATTTCCATAAGTGGCTTTGTACCAAGGCTCCACAGAAGCACGAACCAGGCCTCTACTTCTCAGATTTAAAATGGAATCAGATACACACACAGCCGGGAGAGAAAAAAGAGGAAGGTCCACCGATGGAAGAAGGACAAGACTTTGCAACTGGGGCAGCAAGATACAGCCCAAGAAAGGCTCAAGGGAGGAGGTCAGCTTTGGCAGAGAGAAAATGAACATGTGACTGTGGGGCAGGTAACTCAGGAAGAAACAGATTAGAATGGCAGAGAAACAAGCTACAGGAGAACAAAGGTGGAGGTGATAAGGGAGGATAGCAACAGGTAGCAGAGATGAATGGTAACTGAGACAAAGTAAGACGTTGGCCACCATTCTGAGCTGATACTCATAAAGAGGCTGGAGTTGGGAAAGCTCACTATAGACCCCATGGCGGCCCAGGACAAATCTCATTCCAGAAACTTCCATTTCTATGAAAATCTCAGACTTACATAGCCGAGGTGATTGATTTCAAACATGGTTCAAAGTAAGAATAGGTACAATGGCAGAAGGTGAGATGCATGAAAGTGCAAAAGAGATAGGAAAGAATGCCTTAGTCCAGATAGTAGAGATGACTGGGGTTGAGAATCTAAAGGAAGATTTTTAAAGAGAGAAAGTGAAGGTTATGCCGTGGCATGCAGAAACATGTGCGCCAGTGAGGTTGCCTAGATATACTAGATGACCAGTGGCACTGACCACTGGTGAGGAAGAGGCCACGGGTTCTGCTTAAGGAAAATAAGTTCCAGGCCTTGATCAAGGTCTATATTTAGTTGAAAATAGTGACAGAAAAAGAATGGAGACAGATGGTAGAAGCCTGTTGTCTTAGGCTCCGGCTAGTGGGACAGGAATGATAGAAATCAATTCATGAATAGTCAGCATTAGATCAGTGAGCAGGTATTTGTGAGCAAACTATGGGCTTTCCTGGTGGTTCCCTAAGCCACGTTGTGGGGAAGGGCTGCTCCTAGCACAGAATAGAAGCAGAAGAGAGAAAAAGAAAGGACAAAAGAGATAAGACTGATAGGTGGTCATTAAGGGCCATAAACAAGTGCTTTGATGTCCTTCCTATTGGCACCACCAAGCAATACGACAGGGCATACACTTCAACTGTGGCCTACCTGAATATGACAAGAAGAGAAAACAGAAGTTGAATGAATTTAATTACAAGGAATTATTCTACGTTTTATATAGCATGTTTCTTTCTTTTTTTTTTTTTTTTAAGATTTAAGATTTTTATTTTATTTTATTTTTTTGAGAGATAGCGAGCAGTGGGGAAGGACAGAGGGAGAGGGAGAGAGAATCCCAAGCAGACTCTTCAGTGAGCTTGGAGCCCAACATGGGGCTTAGTCTCACGACCCCAAGATCACAACCCAAGCTGAAACCAAGAGTTGGATACCTAACCGACCGCGCCACCCAGGTGCTCCTATATAGCATGTTTAAATATAAAACACCAGGCTCGCTGCCCACTCAGATGATCCTTTTATTCCATTTATGCATTCCCTGCCCAAGGCAAGACTTGCAGTCCAGCACAAGAGGTGACTGGAAAAAGGAACACCCAAAGGGGTTTATCATACATAGCGTTTGCGAAGGTTCCGGCACCTGAAATCAAAGGCACTGCTGTTCTTTACCCTTTTCTTTTTATATAAGACCTATTGCCCAACTCCAGAGAGTTTTTTTTATATATTGTCCCTTCGTTTTGTAGTGGAAAACCAGACAGAAAAAAGTCCTAAAACAAGTTAATCTGGTTTTTCTGGCTCCTCGCCTAATACCTGAACCAGCAGACCACTAGAAAGGGTCTTGCTGTGGACTGTGGACTTACCTGCAGCTCCCAGGGAAACCAGGATATTCTCTCGGGGGCTAATGTTCTTGTCATAAGGGCGATATCCGTAGAGGTGGGCAGCACTGTTCACCAGCCACGTGGCATTGAGCACAATGGCATAACGCAAGAAAGTGGCGACGAACAAGCTGTGTAGAAAAGTCTCACCCCAGAAATACCAGGGCACAAGGGTGGGCAGGATGAAGCACATCAGCAGGATGCCGGGTTTGTAGTACCTACATCGAGAGACCAGACGCCGAGTCAGAGGAGAGAGGAGGGCTCTTGGACCCACCTCATTTTCCTCTGCCACTGGTGGGGCTGTCTCTTCCCTTCTACTTGAGCACTGTGTAGCCCAAGGCAGAGAAAGAGGGGATTGGGGGGGGGAATCTTTCGAGAATGTCCCCGTTTTTAGAAAATGAGGTAGTGAGGGGTTAATTGATTTTTCTAGGATTGCATGGGTAGGAACCGGTGGAGCAAGGGTTGGAAGGCTTGTCTCCAGCCTCTGAATCCATTGTTCTTTCTGACTATAGCATAATGCCATCTTGGTAAAACAGATGAGGTCCAGATTACCAACTCATAAACTGAGTTCTCCTTCCCAGGCTGTTTTTCCATTCTGCCTTTAGGCTCATTTCTCTTTCCTGTTCATGGTTTTTTTTTTCAAGATTTTATTTATTTGACAGAGAGAGAGACACAGCGAGAGAGGGAACACAAGCAGGGGGAGTGGGAGAGGGAGAAGCAGGCTTCCCACTGAGCAGGGAGCCCGATGCGGGGCTCGATCCCAGGACCCTGGGATCCTGACCTGAGCCGAAGGCAGACGCTTAACGACTGAGCCACCCAGGCGCCCCTCCTGTTCATGTTTTTTGCAGAGTCTAGGGTTCGTGCCTTGCCCCCAGGTCCTGCTAGCCACCCCAAAATCGTTCCTTTTCTTCCTCAGAGAGGCACAGGGTGTCCTTGATGCGCACAAGCCCTCTGGAGGCCCCATGCCATTCTTCACTGTCTCAAATGTAGACCATGCCATTGACATTCCCAGGGAATGGATTTCCTGCTTCTCTTCAGCAGCCAAGTCTTATACTCTC